TTGGTTTATTGTCACTTTCGGCTTTCTTCTTCGTCCCTTTGCTTACCTTTTGCTCCTTTATATCCTGTGTTATTGGAACACTTTCGTCCGAGGATGTTTCGGTCAATGGCGTGACCATTTTCCTTTTCATCCTCTTCTTTTGTCGGTCTTTAGGCACCGGAGGTGATTGGTACTATGCCCGATATGTCATATTTTGATTCTTCAAGTTCCATTCCTGATTCTTCTGCTAATAAGTAGAACTTGTTTCTCTTAAGTATGTCTTCATTCATTGCATGTGTCGCATTTGTGACATTAGGGCTCAAATAGATTTCCCACTCTGGTCTTTGATCTTACGCTATTTCTTTAGGTATACTGAGGTAAGCTCGTCTAAGTTATCTTCATTCTCTTTGTCTTTCTCTTTGTGTGCTTGCTCTTGTTCCTTTTCCTTTACTTATTGTTTCGTCTGCCTGTGCCACTTTTTCCTGTTGCATTTGTTGCAATTGATGTGGTTGATGCAGTTGTTGTAATGGTTGTGCTTGTATTTGTTCTTCTGTCTCTTCTTGCTCGTCATCATTGAGAATCACATGATTAGGGCTGACGACGTTTGCGTAGGTCCGTTCAGCTGGTGGGTTTGGACGTGGACAATCTTTGGGTTTATGTCTCACTTGCCTACACCTTGGACAAGCCTTGTCATATTCACATCCCCTATACCACGATTTTAGGAGGAATTTCATTACATAGAAGATAGTAATAACTCTTACTCCTGTTTTAATATTACTAAAACCCCATACCGTGGCTATTCTGTGAGAGATCACATTGATCTTTAGTTTGTCTTAAAGTTTGTACACCAGTTCCTTGCTGTGAATCTCTAGGGGTAATCCAGTCTCAATAACATCTGTTTTTCTCCCTTCAATTTCTCTTATGAGTGGTTGTGTCTTCCCTACTTTTGCACGCATATCCTTGACTTCTATGACATCTTTGTTTACAATGGGGGTCTTATAGTCTTTCGGATAGATGATGAACTTGTTTTTCCCTCCATTTTGAATTCCGTATATTTGAACAATTGGGAATTCTTGTCTTCTCATAGCTATTAGAACATCGGACTGTCGCGGACAGTTCTCAGTGCTCCCAAAATTAATCACCTGACACCCAGGAGGGTGGAAGGCAAATAATTTATTTCCTTCCGTTTTTATAAAAAAAATAATATTTTTTTCAAGTTTGAACCAATGCTGGTTACCCTATTTAATTGTGCTTGAGCCATAGTTGCACGGTTAGATTTAATCACTGAAAAAGCTGGTATCACTACACAATTAGCATTTGCACAGTTCACTATATCCCGGTCACACACCACTATTACTGCAACATGTATCACTTAGAACAATAATTTCAAAGAAAAACACTGGTTTAAGTACTCCATATATCATGAAAAAATAGCAGTTTTCTATGCATTATAGACATGAGAGTTTGAAATTTTGAATATTTCAACACAAAATTCAATAATTCAAAAAGTTCAAAATGAGAACTTAATTATCCAACAAAAGAATGAAAAAATATGAACTACAAAAAAATCACATCAATACAGTTTAAAGAAAAAAAAATAATGAAAAAAAAAAAGAAACGTTCACTCATTCTTCTCAGTCTGCTTTGTCCTGGCCATTTTTCTGACTGAAAATCCTAGATGTAACTCTGTCGTAAACGACTTTGCAAATCAGCCCGAGTTTGTGGGAAAATTCTAATCAGTACAAAGTGTCATAGAAGTCAGTCGACACGGTCAGAACTTGCGTACCATACCATTCAAACCAACTGTTTCCCTGTAGGAAGTCACCAGACAGGCACCAACAGCCTTAATGCGATTATGCAGGAGATTATGCTCTGTGGGCTTTTAATTTCACTTTTGATCAAGGCAGAGACGAGGGTCATTTCCACCCTATAAAATCCGGTTAATTTCGTGTTGAATTTCAGTTTGCACAAGTTCTAGCCAACACGATGAACGTCATCTTGTAGTACATTATTGGATTTTATCTTCTTCACTTAATCCGTAAGTATTTACATTCTAAGTTAATACAACGCACTTTGGATAGTGTAAGAATGGGGTGTTGTATGACATGTCTTGAGATGCAGTATGTTTGTAAACGTTCCTTCTCTTTCTCTTAAACTCTAAGCATTTAGATTCTATGATAACAAAGGGTGAATTGGATGATGCAAGTATATTGTTTAGCGGTATAGGCGTGGTTTGGTTGTATGATTGAGAGATCACATATCCTCGTCTTACAATCTAAGCCAACAAAAGGCGGTTTGGATAGAGTATTCATGGTTTAGGTCAGGTGTGATGAATATTAATTTTGTGAGATTTTATCGACTACCCTTGAACTCTAAGCTAACATATGACGATGTGTACGTGCATGCGTTTGTGTGTTTGCGTGTGTGTGTGTAATTTGACAATTCAAGCTTAAAACCATTTACCATTGCCCTTCCCGTTTGACCCTATCAACCATTTTGATTACATAAACCATTTATGAGGCCATTAATCCATAGCATACTAACTCTGTTTAACTTAGAACTCCCCATACTTACTAGATTCCAGCATATTGAGGTCATCTCCAACATTGTTATTAAGTCACGGCCAAATAGAGGTTAGCTACTTGTAGCACTACTACGATTAGATCAAATGAATTATAAGGGTGTTTTTCATAGGAATTTGCCACAAGTTGAGGCTTTAAATATTTACTAGGATTTTCCATAGGAATTTCAAGCAAGTTTAGGTTATAAATAAATACTGTTTTTCTATAGGAGGTTCCAACAAGTTAAGGTTATGGATATGTACCAGGGTTTTTCCATATGTTTTTCCCACAAGAGAAAAAACCAAAAAACCCTTTTCAGAGCCACTCACTTGACTTGAAAATATTAACACATTGACTATTGCCTGTAATATTTTGTCTTTGTGTTGTATAAGAGTTTGTTTATGTTTGTCCTCACAAACGCTTTTGTCTCTATAAACCATTCTCTCCCCAGAGTGTCACTTCCATGTTAAATGTCCATTTTCTCCAATACTATTTTGTCACCATCAACGCTATAAACAGATTAAATAAAAAAATTACCATTTTCCCCAGATACTGATTTGTATTTGATGCATTTTTTTTGTGTATTCCATGCAAGCCTGAAAATTTGAATTATTTATATCCGATGATGACGCTAGATGTGATTGTATGAGGCTCCTGAGTCCAAGCTGGATGCAGCCATGCTGTTACAGGTTGGACATCTGAAGTCTGTAGACGTGATCTCCATCGGAATGAAGTGCCCAAGCCATTTGAGTTGGGCTTTCAGCAGCAGTGCCTCAATGCTAATAACACTGTCCCTGATGTGGACTCAATATGTTGGACACCATGTCTTGTCATCAGATGTGCATGATTGTAGTGAGCGCACGTGGAACTGCTTGAGCTGTTCATGTTTAGCAGACGTAGAGCAGGGATGTAAGGTACACAGCTTTATAGACCTTGAATTTAGTGGGCATCCGAATGTCATTTTGCTGCATGAACATGACACAGTCTTCCTAGAGCATGGTTTTCTTTCTAGATCAAAGCTATGATTTCATTGTCTAGGACCCATCTGAAGATATCGTGTTTGCCAGAGATGTAAAACTCTCAACGTTCTTCGATTGTCTTTCCTCGATCTTGATGGTGGCTTTTTATAAGGAGCTGGCTGAAGGAGTACCTCTATTTTATTCAGGCTTATTCTCAGACCAAACAGCGTGGATGCCACTGAGAACTTAGCCGCAATGATCTGTATGTCCTTTTCCTTCTGTGCCATAAGTACAAAGTCTGCAAGCATCTAACAAAGCGATACATGATGTTGACTCCCATGTGAACACGACGAGATTCATGTGTTTTTGTATGTTTTTGTTCTTGTTTTTTAACACCTGTTCACGTTTATTCAGTCATTAGTGTAACTAGAATGAATTTGGGATACAAAATGGATAGACTCCTTCATAATGGTTCTTATCGGGGTTATATATATATATATATATATATATATATATATATATATATATATATATATATATATATATATTTATATATATATATATATATATATATATATATATATATATGTGTGTGTGTGTGTGTGTGTGTGTGTGAGTGTATGTATGTATGTATGTATGTATGTATGTATGTATGTATGTATGTATGTATGTATGTATGTATGTATGTATGTATGTATGTATGTATGTATGTATGTATGTATGTGTGTGTGTGTGTGTGTATGTATGTATGTATGTATGTATGTATGTATGTATGTATGTATGTATGTATGTATGTATGTATATATATATATATATATATATATATATATATATATATATATATATATATATATATATATATATATATATAAACCAAACGTATATTTAATTTTCTGGTGTAATTGATAAATCTATAGGATAATTGATTGATGTCAGAGTATCTGGTTAATAGTTCTATTCAATCACTATTTGATTTCAGAGTATATCAATACCAGAGATCCGAGGCAGTGTGGGTATGGTTATGTATTATTTTGCTAAGCTACGTATAAGTCACTGCAAAGTTAGAATGGAAATGGTGCTACCTACTATCAACATAATCTGTGTCACGTTATAGTATACGTATGAAATTAATACAGACCTCATCTCAGTATTGTACTTTGATATATCCACGCAGTATTGAATTTCATTTACGTTTCCCGAAGGGAGATAAAAGAAAATATTTCGTATGCATGTTTCATTCGTAGCTACTTTAGTTATTTATTGATACAAAAATAAAATGTCTCCTTAGGTTACATTCCATGTATTGGGTTTCACTTCTAGATAAGTAGTTTTACGAAAAGGATTTTGACATAGCTTGTACTCGGTGTTGTGTATATAAATTTGCATTATTTGTTGGCTTTTACGTAATTATGTGATGTACATCTATATTTTGTATTTGACCTTGTCCAAGATCAAGTAAATGGCCTACCTGACTAGTGCAATTGATTTAGGAATCACTTCTGTGGTCTAGTGGTTAGAGCGTCCGCCAGGAATGTTGGAGGTCCTGGGTTCGATCCCCGGTCTAGTCATACCAAAGACTTACAAAAATGATGCTAACAGCTGCCTCGCTTGGCGCTCAACATTAAGAAGTTAGTGTAAGAACTGGTCGGCCTGGTGTCAGGATAATGTTACTGGCTGGGACATCATTCTAAATGTCTTCGGCATGATGCTACGGTGCTAGACATCACTATAAACTGCCACACTGGAGACATTGTAGCGATATGACTGTGAAACCTACGGTAAATTATAATCACATCAAACTTAGTTTTGGATAAACCTAATACATATATAATATCTCTCTATCATTGTCGATTACATATTCAGATCGTTATTAATGAAGGTAAACATGTTTATTTGATATTTAGTCTATGAAATTAATTTTTCTAATGGACATTCTTGAACGAGTTGACAACTTTGAATTTTTATAGAGGTAATTGACCTTCATACGGTTATATTACTGAGACGTGTGTTTTTACTCGAAAAATCACTCATTGTTGCCTGAAATTCTTAAGCAGAATTAGTCTTGTTGTTGTATTCAGTTTTTAATTTGGATGGATTAATTTATTCAAATTAATATTCACTATAATTATAAAGTGCCCAAAAATATTCTTGGAACAAAACAAATAATTAAATAATTTGGAATTATAGTGAATTCTGACAAACATATTTTGGATTATATTATTGCGATACGCGAAAAGACTGAGCATATAATCACACTGTAGTTCAGTCATATAGTACATTCGTAACTGCATACATATCAACACATTCAATTTCGGATTTTATTTCGAATATCATTGGAGTTTAATTGGAACTTTATGCATTTGAATTTGTGATAGAACTTTTAGGATTGTTTGGGATTTTATTCACAATGCTGTAAAGTCGTTTTATCTTTTCTGTTTGTATTCTAGAAAAGTAGATTATTTGCTGAATTTTACAAAACGTATTGACTTTTGCTCTTTTCTGTTACTTAGTTTAAGTCCATAGCGTAGTAGCATCTGTACCCATATATTAAGACTTCGTATATAAAAACATGATTCCATTTGTCGAAATAAGTATGCTAATGTATTTGCGATGCATTGATCTTTTGACTTCAATGTAATTCATTGCTAATCCTTTGCGACAAAAAAGAGCACCCTGTTCAGATTTATTTTTGTGTCATCGAGTTAACACAAGAATAAAAAGACGAAATGTTAGGCTGCTTATGTGACATCTCTGATGTTTTTTTTAAACAAATTTAAATAACACAATATCTGCATTCTTATTTTTAAGAGAGAGAGAGAGAGAGAGAGAGAGAGAGAGAGAGAGAGAGAGAGAGAGAGAGAGAGAGAGAGAGAGAGAGAGAGAGAGAGAGAGAGTAGACGCGGCATTTGCCTGATACTTTGAAAAGGAACAGGGCAGATGAAGTGTCTAAACTCAAAAGCGTATTTTTTTTATAACGAAACTATTGCTTTATCTTTGAAACGCAGTCTAATAGCTTGACCATTAAGTTTCTCCCTTATATTGGAGACATATTTCAAGTCTTGCGATAAAATTATATAGTTTTACATGAATAGGCTAATATAAGTTGATTGCATGCAGGCGCTTTAGTGATGTCAGGCATACTTAAGCATCTGAATTCCATATGCTGTTTAAGCACAGTTTGTTATGTTAGAACAACAACGAAAAAAAAAAACAACATATAAATGGTTTTCGTTTTATTTGATACAAGATTCACATGCTTAGTAACTGATCATTTAAGAATATCGTCTTGTTTTATTTTAATATTTACTAAAGCACACCGGCAGGACTGTTAACTCTTTGCTTCATAGTCCATTGAACACAACATAATAGTGTGTACAGTTTAATCACTGTATAGGAAGCCTTTGCTAGTTATCATCTACCCAGTACACGGTCAAGCATTTACATTTTTCTTCCCAAGTTATATTGATTTGGTTAATGTACGAAATATCTCTGACTCAATTAGACAACAATGTTTTCAACTAGCCTTTCTTTAAAACTAATCTGTTATCGAAAATCGGAGACTGAAGACATACATTATCGAAAATCGGAGACTGAAGACATACATTATTATGCACAATTAGTGTTGTATGGACAAAGCCCTTTATTAGCAGTAGGTCAAGAGACGACTCGTTCTGGTATTCTTTACTAAAGTTCACAAATAATTGTGTGTTTCCAGACGACAAGTGAAAAATTGTCCCATGTCCAAGATCGTATCACAAACATTTAAATAAAAAAAAAAATATGGGAAAAAGGCAAGAGCCAAACAGCCAATATTCGGCAATAAATATGTGATTTCGATGAATGGTGAAATCCAAGACAATCCGAATACTAATGACATCTTCCATCCCGTACTTCTCTATTTGTAAAAATCGACAGACAATTGTTGGAATTTCTCTATTACTCAAGAACCGAACTAAGTTTTAAAGACTGGACTATTCTTGATTACAGCTGACTTGGAAATTAGTAGATGAAATTAGCACAAACTAGCAGGGATGGAACTATCGAGGGAAGTTGATTCGTGTCCTCCCTTGCCTTATATTAATACAGCCCCCCCCCTTTCCGGCCTTATATTCACTGACGGATACTCATAATTCATTCAATTTTAATATCAACAATTAATTTGAATTTTTTTTCTGGTGTCCCTGTTGGGATGGTGACCAAAGCACGTGCTTAGTGTGCTGAATGGGTAAAATGGGTAATCCAACTGTGTATACAGAAAAATGAAACTGCTATATTTTAAATCTGGACTTGTCTGTCTACCTGTCTGTCTGCCTCTTTATCTATTTGTATTTCTGTCTTTATTATGTATTAAGTGTTTCGATACTTATTTTCATCAGATTTTTTTTTTACTTCCGACCGAAAACGTTTGCCTTACTATATATATATATATATATATATATATATATATATATATATATATATATATATATATATATATATATATATATATATATATATATATATATATATATATATATATATATATATTGTTAGGACCTATTTTTGCAAGAAACATGCCATTTGTTAACGAGAAAACTTTAATCAAATACGACTTCTCGGAAATTGCATTCTTCTAACGGACATATTGCAATATAAAGGCAGTCGGCGTTTTTTAACTAAAGGTCTCGAACAACGGTGTTGCTTGCACGTGTAGGGACAATTGTCCTCTTTCCAAGATCTTCACATACATGTAGATAAAATAAGGGAGAAAGACAAGATCCAAACAACCAACATTCCGGAATAAACATGTACTTTTGATGAATGGGGAAATCCAGGAATATACGAATGACATCTATCTTCCTCGTACTTGTGTGTCATTTTGTTTATAAAATATGTGTGGTTTTAAGTCATTGAAAATGGAAATATTCATTTTTGTCGCTGATTATGTTACGTGACAATAGTTTTAACATGTGATTGATTTTGTTTTAAATTTTTAAGCTTGAACTTAAATCAGAAAGACTTGTTATAATTACTTCATCTGTCAGATCTAACTTCTGCCCAAATGTTCATCAAACAAATTATTTCATTATAATCATATTTTGAAGCAATTTTAAGCCCCCCCTCTGTCTCTCTCTCTCTCTCTCTCTCTCTCTCTCTCTCTCTCTCTCTCTCTCTCTCTCTCTCTCTCTCTCTCTCTCTCTCTCTCTCTCTCTCTCTCTCTCTCTCTCTCTCTCTCTCTCTCCAGTGTTGAATTATTTCAAATTTCAATGAACATAATATTTACTACTCGGTATATTTTAACAACCACCAGATAAATGTTTCGGGCTATCGGTAAAGTTAAGCTAGGTATTGGTCTAAAGTGTGGCCATTTTGTGTTGAATATTGCTTTCGGTGGCGCTCTTCATTTACTAAGTATTTCCGAGAAAGCGAGCAGTTTAAGGTGAAGTTGCTTGTACTAACAGCTTGCATAATGTTAGCATTCCTCTAGTTGTTTTTTTTTCAGTGTCTGTGACTAAAATTTCTATACATGTAGTCATCGTGGAAAAAAAAGTGCGTTCTAAAGCAAGCAATTGATGAAGTGGCTGATCTTACGTGCTTGAAAAATGAGCTTAAACTAATAAATAACTTTAGCAGTTATTAAAACAAGGAAAATGAATTTTGCTACATTAGACAATATATATATATATATATATATATATATATATATATATATATATATATATATATATATATATATATATATAAGTAATGAAACACTACTTTCGACTATTTTTTTTCTTCCAATTTACCGTTTGATTTCCAGGAATTGAAAATGGCCAAGCCCAGCTAGAATTATTTGAAACATGGATATCTGCCGTAGGGTCAAGGTGTATTTTTATAGCCTAAATTATATCCATCAATCGTACATCAAAATAAAGGAAATTAAATTTATATTACTAATACCTAATACCTAAGATATACAAAGTGAGAAAAACTTAGGAAATTCTTGCCCTTTAATGATCGATTTGTAGACCAAAATTTTTATTTTTTTATTTTTTCTCTGTTCTTGATTCACACGACGGAAGTTGCCAGAACTCATAACTACGAATTCGCTCATTACCTCTGTGACTCCTCCCGACTTGGTTTGACCGGAATCATTAAATCCAATTTATTTATAACTCTTCGGCTAAACAAACAATTTCAGATGTCTGGTTTTGTAATTCATTTACATATCATCTATCACATCATATAGTTTTCATATCACGTCATGATACCCTGCTACTGACATCTTACTCACTCTGTTCTGATGTTACGACAATCTTCCCCTTGAAAACGTTGTTTCCAAGGATAAACTATGGAGAAATCTATTTACTGATATACGCTTTATCACAAAAGTTTGCTCAACCAGTATGTTTTACACGTTACAAACGCCACACGATTGTAATTGGCATCTACTGCAAAAAACGATTTAATAAACTGTCAGTGACACCGTACTTCTGGTTGTGCGCACTTGAGAATGTATAGAAACACTTTAAAGTAGAGTAAACAGCTTGGTCCAATAAATGGGAGATTTTAATTTAAACGTATATTAACATTTTTGTGCCTGATA